AGTCGAGGATCGTGTCGGTCGGACGATCACGAGGTAGTGGGGATCAGTCTCCGTGCGTGAGGGGTGTCAGAGAGCCCAGGGCGTCTGTCGGGTATGAGCGAGACCGTAGGCAAAAGAGCAGACGTCGTCCAGCAGGGAGAAGGGTCTCTGACAGCGCCAGCGAACCGTCGCAGCTTCAGAGAACGCATCCACGCGGCAGAAAGGGTACGCCTGAAGTCATTGACAACCGGAGTCAACCTCAGAACAACTGCGGAGGAATGCGTCTGCACGCGAAAGATCAACGACATGATGTGACGCAGTGCAGGGGTACACCTGTCCCCGACCTTGGCGAGAGACACGACGGCCAACCGAAGGTGACAGGGCGTGTACCAGGAAGCAACTAAGTGACATAACAAAGAGCGGCTCTCCATCCACGCTGAGGGGCCAGAAAGAGGAAAAGCGCTCTGAGAAAGCTGCCCTGCCGCATACCCACAGCAGCACAAGCAATCCATAGTCACGAAGAGGCCCAGGGAGTGGCCGCTCAACCAGGTTGAGCGTGGGAGCGACGATGGGCCGACGTCAGTGCGCACAGATCCTCGCGGCGAGCGGTGCACCACTAGCCACTGGGGTAGCACGCCTGGGCCAACCGCTGCAAGACTGTGGTAAGTCATGTACGGGAGCACGCCTGCGACTCAGTCCGAGTACGGCCGCAGCGGACCGGGTGGGCATTCCAGCCGGCGCAGCGGGGCGACCCACGTCACAAGACCGTCTGAACAACGTTAAGACCCACTGACGATGAGTCCATGCCCAGAGTCGCTCCCCGGGAAGGTGGAGAAGCGCGGCTGAAGGCCGTAGTATCTAGGGGAAACCCAGGGAGTAAGAGCGCGGCTCTGGGTGTGACGAGACGAAGCCATCATTGCGTCGGTCGCAGAACCGCGGGCAGGGGCGAGCCTGGCAAGGTGAAACCAGCTACAGCGGGGCCTGGGGCCACTATGACCACACGCAACACGTGGTGTTGCAATGCAGACGGTATTGCTGGTACACACACTTGGGTCCAAAGGCAGGAAGTGCACGTGCCAGGGAGGGCGGCGACATGCCGCCAAACGAGTCTGGTGTCTGAGGAGCAGCTGAAGGCTGCTGTTCTTGAGAGAGAACCCAGGGATTGAAAGCGCGACTCAGGACTGAGACGTGGCGGAGCACTTGCGTCGGTCAGGAAGCCGCGCGGCCGGGGGCGGGGTCCGCCCGGGCCAGAAGTGAGAACAACTACAGCGGGGCCAGGGGCCAACTAGGGTCTGCACGCAGCACTCCCCCGCGCTGCAATGCAGATGGTATTGCCGGTCGACACACTTGGGTCCAAAGGCAGGAAGTGCGTGTACCAGGGAGGGCGGCAGCACGGCTGCCACACGGGCTGAGAGAGCACCGGGAGGCAGCTGAAGGCCGCGCGAAGTGTGAAGCACGGTCGATATACCTGTCCCTCTAGGTGATGGGATGGGTGGGAGGGGAGCTCAGTCGCCCCATCGTTGCCTTTTTTCCCCACGTTCGTCTGGCCTGCCGCCACCACGCTTGCCTCCTGACTGCCAACGGTCGTCGTGCCAGCCAGCGCTCCAGTCACTCTGCCAGGTGTCCCCGGCGTCCCAGGAGCTAGTCGCCCGCTCGCGCCAGCTGCTCTGCTGGTGGTGGTGGTGGTTGCCCTTGCCCGTGCCGTCGGGCCAGGTGTGGCGCAGGTACTCGGCCCGCACTGTTGCCCAATCGATGCGGAAGTTGAACCTCCTGTCAATCAAGTAGGCGTTGTATCCGCAACCCTTCCAATCATCCAAAAACTTGTTGATGGTCGCGTCCGAGTGCAGCCTCGGGTCTGACTTGGGTTCCCTGGACCCAGGGAGCCGAATGCCTTGTGTGTAGGCCGTCCACAGAGCACAGAATACTCCACCCAACTCCGTTTGGTGTCTGGTGATGCGCTTGGCGGGCGGCTCTCCGCGGCGCTCTAAGTCCACGGAGCCCAACCAGGCCTTGTACATGGGGCCTCCATGGGCGTCGGTCAGCTGGTTGAGTGTGTGTCGCTCCGCTGATCGAGAGTAGGCAAGCCTATGGCCAGGTGACTGTGGGTTACGTAGTGGGGGGCGACGACCCTGCGCATCACCCCTGTCTCGGGCAACTTCGTCGCGATCTGGTCCCCTGGTCCCACTGGCGTTTTGGTCGGTGTTGGCTGGGCCACCCCAGGCGGCTATCGGGTCGCGGTCGCAGCTGGGTTCCATGCTGTCCGCCGTTGGGCTCTGCTGAGGCGCCTTGTCGCCGGGGCCATCGTCGTCGACTTCCGTGGCCGAGCCCGTGCAGGATCCAGGAGGAGGAGACACTTGGGGGCCTCCATAGTCGGCTGAATCCGCTTTTTCAGTAGGAGGGATTTCGTCTTCGCCATCCTCGTCTTTGGCAGCGTGGTCAGGCACATTCGGGTTGCCAAGACGCGTGTCGTCGTCTTTCGTGCCCAAGGGGTTGTCTGCACCGGCCGCAGTAGAGGTGTTTGGCCTGTCCTCACTCATTGTCTGCACGTGCGACTCGGCAAGGGAGGCGATGGTTGCCGAGGCCAGGGCGTCGGCGCTGAGGCTGAGTAGGAAACTCGTCAGCGTGCCTATCTCGTGTCTGACGGGGTTGAAGCCACTCGCCGGGGCGAGGGCCAAGGCGTGCTTCTCCCAGGACTCCTTGTGCTTGTCGCCGTTGGTGAGGCGGGAGACGACCCGCGCGGCGGCCAGCCGTTTGCCTTCCCAGGGCTGGTTGAACGGGGAACAATCCTTCGAGATGCATTCGCCGTACGCCGCCCTGAGAAACTCCGTCAACCGTCCGACTGGCCAGGAGGCTTCTTCGTTTTTAGGCTCTGGGATGCTGCCATCGCGATGGCCGCGACAGAACTGCCGCCAAGTGTAGTCCAGCCCAGGGTGGAAGTCCCGGAGGTAGGTCACCAGGAGTCGCTGAACAACCACGTCTCCGCTGCCCGATCCGCTCCTGGGGTCGTCTTGGCTGAGCGTGGGGTTGTTGACGCCCCTGCTGTCCAGGAGCGGCCCCTGCGGGACTGGCAGCTCCGGCAGGAGTTCCATGAGCTGTGCAAGAGTCCTGGGGGCTTGCTCAGCCGCGGGGGCCGCTCCACCCGAGGCGCTAGACCCAGGGGGGTTTGCCGCTCCAGCCTTTGCGAAGCGATCTTGGGCCTTGGCGTCAGCGCCTATCCATGGAAGGGATCTGAAAATGTCCACTGGCACCTCCGCTACTATCCGGCTGTTGAGCGTTGGGAGGACAGGGGCCTCGGCTGGGTACAGTGCCCTGTAGTCTCTATCAAGGATGTGGTCCAGCGTTGCAGGCCCGATGTTCCATACGGGGACCAGGCAACGCCGGCAGCACCAAGTGGCGTTCCAGTTGCGCTCCCACCAGGCTATGGCTCGCCGCTCGATGGGAGGCAGCCAAGCTTGCTCGGGAACCCCTACCCCCTCCGCTGGCTTCCATATGAAGCAGCCCAGGGGAGGTGCTCCGGTGTTCCAGACGAGGAGCGGTGCCCCTGGGGGGCATGTGTCGCACCGTGCGGAGTAGAATTTGTTCTCCGCAGCTTTGAGGCCGAACCGCTCATCCCTGACCCGTAGGATGGGAATGGTGGTGTTGGCGCGCTCAGGGATCTGCATGCCCGTCGGCGTCATGATGAGGTCCGACAGCGATCTCGTGTCCGCCTGGGGGCTGCATCCAAAGCCAAGTGGGAGGTGACCCAGGGAGGGGAGGGCATCCGCCTTATTTTGCACACGCAGCGCTCGGAATCCATGCAGTCCCTAGCCCACACGTGCAAGGCTCCAGACTCGCGCCTGCATCCCTACGCGGGGCCCCGTGCCAGCGACACGGTACTCAAAATGGCCAGGGGCAGCCCGGAGTCCACAAAGGACATCCTGGCGCATCCATCGTGGCCGCGACAGCCCGGAGTCCACTAGGACATCCGGGCGTCGCACTGGCATTGAAAATGAGGGGGGGAGGACGACGACGACGAGGACAAGAAGGAGAGGGAGCTTGCACAGAAGCCCTAGAGATGCCTCACGAGAGGGCCGGGTCTGACACTGCGCAGCGTGAGAGCGGAGAGATTTTACACCAGCATGTTTCGCCCGCGGCGTCCAGGCGGTCAGGGTAGCCGTGGCGCCGCAGCGATCCTTCGCACGACTATGACACCACGGCCCCGAGGAGGAGGAGGAGGAGGAGCAGCAGGAGGGCGAGGAGGGGAGAAGGATCGCCCTCTGCGGGCGTCTCAGCTGGGCGCCGTGCCTGGCGGCGGGCGCTTCGCCGCGGCACCGTGCGCCCCAGCCCTTCACGACAAACCAACGCCTCGAGCCCCAGGAGGAGGGAAAGGGGAAGGAGGAGGAGGGCGGGCGAGAGGAACGCCCTCGCCGGGGCTCTCGGCTTGGCATCGTGCGCACAAGCTGGTCACAGCAGACGGGCGCAACAAGTCCAAGCCGGGCGTCGCGGCCGGGCAGCGCGCGCTCAGCTGGTCACAACAACTGGGCAAAACGATTCCACGGAGGAGGGGGGGAGGGAGGGGAGGGAGAGGAGGAGGGGAGGAGAGGCAGCCTCCTTTTGCAAGCCCGCTCAGCAGATGCAGGACCTGCCCGTCGTTCAAAGGCGCGCTGCAGCGAATGGCACGAAGACATTATTCAAAGCTTGGTCTTGAAAGAGCGCCGATCACGCCCAGGCTTTCAGAGGGCGGCGCTGCGCCTTCACCCAGCTCGGCATGCACGACCGCGCCTTATCCACAGCGGTCAGCACTATTGAAGGCGGAGGAGGGGGAGGAGGAGGAGGAGGAGGAGGAGGAGGAGGAGGAGGAGGAGGGAGGAAGGACCTCCCCGAGTCCACAGAGGACATCCCGGAGTCCAAGCCGAGGGAGGATGTAGAGGAGGTCACGCACGCCAGATCGGCTCAAAGGGTCACTGCCGCGCCTCCCTCGCGGCCCAATCGGGCCGCATGCGCGGCAGCTGCGCGAGGGCCGATCGCGCGTCAAGCAGAGAAGCAAAAGTCACCACGCAAGTTTTTTTTCCTCGCGTGGCGAGGGCGCGGGACAGGCCGCAGCATTGTGACAGATCCGCACTCGTCGCAAGCCGCCTTGACGTCACCGACTTGGGCGTCAGCTGGAAATTCAACGAAAAGCTTACTATGGGGCAGCTCGGGCGGAGCCACGATCCAGGCGTCGCGGGGTGACCTATGACTGATAGTATAAAACTTTCCTGCGAACGCTGCGCTCACCTTAAAGCGCCCGCCTACGTGGGACAGCCATGCGCCACCCTCGGCCGAATCGAAAAGAAACCTGTCGATGGCGGCCACCGTGTCCTGGTGGCTGCCGCCAACCGTGGGCGGGCGCTGCGGGGAATGTGGCCGGCTGGGTCGGCGCGCCTGTTCTCCGGCGCGGGCCGCGACGGTCCTCCAGGCCATCCTTCCCCGACTTCGGCCTCGCGCGCCTGATGGCCGTGAGGCCGCGCTCGACGAGCCCGCGGACGAAGCAGAGGGAGCGCGAGAGGCAGCGGGATGCGAGTGCTCGCGCCGCTGGAGCGGCGGCGCTTGCACTTCCAAGGTTCGCCGATTAGCGCTCGCAACCTCCACCAGCAGGTCTGGCGCCCCTCGGCCGAGCAGCTCGAGGCTCCTCGCAAGCAGCTCCCCGAGCTCAGCAGGGGATGGCCCCCACAAAGAGGCCGCGTCAGGCGGCGTGCAAAGCCAGTTCACGTCATCATCCGTGCAGCCAGCAGGTGGAACACGATCTTGTCCTGCGATGTGAAGTCCGCCTGCGGGGAGCACGTCGCCGTTGAGGACGACCCACACGAAGTCGCCCCCCGCGTCGGTGGTGGCGTAGGCGATCCATGATCTGTAGCCCGGCGCGCGGCGCAGGACCAAGTATTCGTCCCAAGCCTCGTCACTGACCTGGATGTGAACGGAAGCTGGAAGCGCATCCAAGGATAGCTCCGCTGGTGTGCCCGGGTCCCCAGCGAGCAGGTCGAGACAGGGGTCCCACCTCAGTCGTCGAAGTCGAGCCTGCACCGAAGCGCGGGTCGACGACTGCTCCTGTGAGGGATGGTCGGGGCGTGGGGCAACGAGGTAGGCGAGGGCGTCGTGCACGCTCAGACCGCCCACCATTGCCGTCAGGACTGCAAGCGCCTGGTGCGCCCCAGGCCGATCGCCAGCGATTCTAACAGAGGCCGGCCGTCCATCGTCAGGCGCCTGTGCAATGGAGACCCGGGCGCCCGTAGCTGCTGCGATCGCCTTGACGTTGGCGCCCTCGGCGCCAATCAAGCGCCCAATATCCAGCGGAGGCACAGCCAAATGGAGCTCCCCGGTAAAATCATCCCGTCCTGACCGACCAGTCGACAAGCCAGGCGCGGCCTGGCAGGCAGCCGGCGCAGGCGGCGCAGGGGCACTTGCGGCACGACGCACCGCGCGGGGATGCTCCAGCGCTGGTCGGCGCGAGAGCTTTCGCAACTGTTGGTCGTCCAACGCAGCCCCCGCACTCTTGTCGATACTTAAGCGGTGTATCTCGCGGAGCACCTTCCTGACTCTGCCGGTGGCGTGGTCGGACTGTCAAAAGCATCCGGCAGAGTGGAGCCCGCCGTGGACGCGGCGATGTGCACGTACGAGGTTGGGTCGTCGTACCAATACGGGTGTCCCACCGCGCCACGGCACTTCCGCAGCGCGAGGTCGTCGACGAAGTGCAGTGGCACGCCGGGCTCCCGATCCTTGGTGTAGAAGTGGATGCCCTCAGAGAGGCCGACGCACCAGAACCCAAGGCTGTTGCCAAAACGGACCTCCCTACCGTGGGGGCGGTCCAGATGGAGCGCCAAATCGTCTGCGTCGGCGAGGTCACGAATGTCCTCGAGCCGGTCGAACCGGAACTGCAGGCCGTGCACGGCCGCCTGCGCCTGCAGTCGGCGGAGCCACGCTTACTCCGCAGCATGCCCCGTCAGCAGGCGGAGCTGGCGCATACTCGGAGTCGCCAGGATGAATGCGAGGAACCTTTCGAAGTTGTCCCGCTGGAAGCCCTTGACGAGGTACGGCTCCACCAACAAGCAAAAACTCGCGCCCACTCCTGGACGAAAGAGCCAAACGTGGTGAAGTACGTTCGCCCAGTCTCCCCGGGCCGAATGCGGAGCGGCGGAAGCGAGCGGCAAGCCGGAGTGCGGGCCACACTAGCCACGCGTTCGATGACGGCTGTGGCGGGGGCCGCGCCTGCACAGGATTGCGCAGGGCGCTCGGCCGATGCTTCCTCTGGAGACGCAGGCGAGGTCTGAGCAGTAGCGCCTGCAGCATCAGGATGGACGATGCTCGGGACACCTGCCTGCCCGACGCCAGCGCTGACCACTCCATCGCCCCGCAGACGATCAGGTATCGCGTCTGTCGCACCGCAACCTCGGAGCGCAGCTCCAGGGGCCATCCAACTGCCACAACCAATACAGTAGCCATCCCCAGAGACGAGCGTTACGACGCACCTGGCGCATGCGTGCGGGATTGCCCCAACAGCCATTGCAGCGCATACCACAGTTGTGACCATCGTGCAAGAGTGTAGCGAAGGATGAGGCTGGACCCAGCCCGGAGTCCACGAAGGACATCCCGGCGGCTCCAACGTGGCGACAGGAAGGGACAGCCCGGAGTCCACGGGGGACATCCCGGCGTCCACCTGGCGAGGAGGAGGAGGCGCAAGAATGTGTCCAGAACCACCATCCTGAACAGGCTGAGGAGCACGGAACCAGTGAGCTTGCTCTTGTAGCTGGCGTCTCTTGTTGCTCGGCTTGTTCCGTTTATTACTACCGTGTGCGCCGCCCTGGCTGGCAGCAGGAGGGCCTGACGCATTGCCACCCTCTCGCTCGTGCTCGTCGTCGTCATCGCGCGGCCGTCTGCGGGAGGTTGGCTCGACGAGCCTGGCGCCTCTGGGCCCCGGGACGTGTGCCTCACAGTTGTGGACGCCCTCGTGTCCAGGCTCATGGATGCACTGCGCCCTGCAAAAGTGAAGCCGTCGATCAACAAAGAAAGAGCACTCTGGAGTACACGCGTGTGAACATCCCCACAAACACACTGCGGTATCAACGTGTGCAGCATACGCGCGACGAAGCATTAATGGTTGTCCTCTGTATTGCCGAAAGGCCTGTTTCCTATGCCAACGCTTGTCGAAGCCTGCTGGTGGAGCAGGCGGAGGGTCGAGCAGCAGACCTGGTGCAGCGTCTGCGGGATACTCGCGAAGGCGGTGCAAAACGTCCTGCGTGGCTGCAGTCCGCTCCACATCTTCCAACGCAGCCAGAAAGCGACGCTGAGCATTGGCATCCAATCCCCATTCGCGGCCGAGGCGCCGCCACTGCCCCACAGTACGTCCGACAACGTGCGCTATCAACGCGTCCATGGTCAAGATCCCCGTCTGCAAGAGGCGTTCCTGAGGCACCTCGAGCTGATGCTGCACTATCCAAGGCCGCAAGGTGTCGGAGGCCCCTCCAGGACCCCCAGCCACTAGATCCCCTCGCTGCTCCTCAGGTTCGGGGCGCTCCCTTTCGGCAGCGGCCGCTCCACGACAGCAGCAGCAGCGGCGGCCGGCCGCTCCTCGCAGGTCCCCCCGGAGTCCACTGAGGACATCCCGGTGACAGCGAGTGCCGGCCCACACGCCAGGCCGAAGGAAGCGCGATGGCGCCGAGAGGCCGACGCGAGCGCCCGCCCCGGCCGCGCCCGCAGTCCCCTGGCGACTGGCGCTTGAACCAGAGCGGCTTGAGCCAGTGGGGGTACGCGAAGCGTCTTGAATACACATTGAAACATGGGCAGTGCCAGACATGTAGAGCATGCTTAAAACCCACACGAGAAATAACAGTTTCCGACGTGGTCCTTGGCGGTGTTCTAAATGTTTCTCTCGGTGCCCGCTGCTTTTCCTCCTGCGTTTGACTCCGAACAGGCATCATAAGTGACTGCCGCTCGGGTTCCCAGACGAAAGGATGTTGCGAGGCGGGGATTTGTCCATATCCACCGCCTGGCAACCGACGTCCTGGTGTCCCAGCGGGCGGTGGAAATGCATATATTGTGCCCCCCCCCGGGGGCCGAATATGTCCATATCCACCGCCTGCCGAGACTCCGAAAACTGACCCTCCAAGCAATGGATACGGATAAATTCCCGCCTCGGAGATTTGTACTCATATGCCGGAGGTCCCTCAATATTCATGGCATGTTTGTTGCGGGTTCCCTCGCGGCCCCCCCCCGTGCGAAGGCGAATGTCTTGCAAAACCAAATAATGTCCTCCCCAACGACATCTGCACCGCTGCCATCCCTGCCCTTATCCTCATCACCATCATGTCGCCGTTCCTGGTGCAATCCTGTTCACCACTATGACGATCACTACGCTGGTTCTTGCTAAGGTACAACGCGCCACAACAAGTCGAACGCAGAGCCTTCCCCTGTCTGATAGAAGCCTGCACCTCTTCAATGGGAAGGCCCGCACGGCGGCGTTGCCCATTTCGAAACATGTCTGACGAAGGTCGCGCCCCCATGAGGAACTCCAGCTACGTCCTCAGGGGTGAAGGCTCCATGCGTACTTGCGCCAGTCTCGGCTCATCCCTCACGCGAGCCCCAATACACGGCCCCAATGGGAACGTTTGCATGCGCTTCCCTCCGTATTTCGGCGTACCCGTTACACGCTGCGTGCCCCTCAGGGAGCTCGACATACGGCCCGACGGGGAAGTTGGCATGCGCCCTCCCCCCCACCCCATGTCGGCGCATCCCTCACACGGATCGTACATAGAGAAGTTCATCGCCGACGTTGGACCAAACTGTTATGGGCTGGGCTCCGCGCCATGCTAACTTTTTGTTCCGTGACGTCGGATCTCGGGGGACGTTGTTTTGCAATCTTGCCGCGCATTATTGGAGGTTCTCGCCATCACGGTCCGAAGCGGCTCGGAAAGCTGGCCAGAGAAGGGATCCGAGGAGTGGCTCCGAGGAACAATTTGCGACAGCAAGCTGATCGTGATTGTATTGGGCCCCGCCCGCTTTGGGCCCTGGAGACGTCACACGAGACATCCTCGTACCCAGTGTGAAAAACGGTCTCGCAAGAGCGGTGAAGAGCTCCAGCGGTCGGCGACTCGAGCAATAATCGGGTCATCGGATGCCTGGGAGACGGGCTGTAAGGCACCAGAGGACTGGGCTCTGGCAGGCTCGTGCCCTGTTGACCAGGGCCCTGGCTTCTGACGCTGCGCGGACCGTTCAGCCTGGAGCGGTCTCCGCCATCGGAGGTCCCCAGAGGCTGTCCGCACCATGTCTCGTGCGGACGTCGCGGGGGCCCGAAGCGGGCGCCTGGAGAGTGCTCATCCCTGCACGCTCGCACCAGCGGAGCCGCCGCGGCATGGTGCAGTGAACCTGCCATAGGCGCAGAAGGCCAACGGGAGCCACATGGCGGCAAAGGGCCCAAATGCGTCAAGACGGGGCTCGCCAAGATCACCGCCTGTTCGCGGCAAGGTGCCAAATGTCCGCAGATGGACATGGCAAGCCGGCAAAATCAGGGGTTCAGACGCGGGCACCTGGGGGAGTTCGGGGCGCAGGCGAATCCTGAGGCGAAGACCAACGGCGGGGGGAAAAGCTTGGTGGGCTGTCCCTGCTCGTGGAGGCCTTGAACCTGGTGCCAACAACATTGTCTGGACAAAAGCCCCAGCCAGGCCTTGCCGAACAAACTGGGCATCAAAGGTCCAGAGCCTTCGGCCCCGCCTTCACCGATCCACACGTGAGTGCCGAAGCGGAGAACGTCCGCACATGTCGTGATTATACGATGGCGCCCCTGGTCAGGGCAACCAGCGAGACAATTTGTGTGGCGCTTCCAAACCTCCAGCGCTTTGGACTTTGTTCAAGACGTGGCCATGGTCTGGGACTAGCTCTTTGTCGCGTGTCCCTGGGACCACAGAAAGACCCCCGCTTGCAGCAAAACGCCCGTCGTCGGTTCTCAATCGCGGGCTGCTCTTCCGCGATGGCTCCTGCATGTGCCAGAAAAAACCCTCGGGGGCCGATATTGCGGAACAAAACGCCAGTAAGGACATGCTCGTGGTACAAGCCAGATGTCTTGGCCGCCAGTCGATGCGAAGCGGGGATTCATCCATAGCCATCGCCTGGGTTACGATCAATCGGTGGGATTTATGCATATAGATATGTGTATACAGATATAGGCATATACGTACATACATCTATGTATACATACACCGCCCACTGAGTCCCCAAGGTCGATTCATCCAGGCGGCGGCTATGAAGACATCCCCGCCTCGAGGTCCTGATCTACGCAGAAAACACCTATGCACCACCAGAACCCCCATGCCAGGCCAGGGCCACCCGTGCCCATGGCACGTTGTACAGACCCTCGTGGCCGACGCCAGGGGGGCCTGTGCACCGTCCAGGTCCCAGGATGGCCTTCGCCAGGCACGCTGGTGGTGCATGTCGGAGGAGGGACCGCTGAGACAACACCGGCTCCCCCGCACTGCCCCAAATACGCTCAAAATCGGTCCTTGGACCGTGAGGATCATCCAGACCAGCTTTCCGAGGCGCATCCAGCCCGGGAGTGCAGCCGATGTCTCGACCAGCCCTCCTCCACAAAATCGCTCCTCAGGTACACGTGAGAGTGACCCACGGCAAGAGAAGGCTTGGGTGCACGACTTTCGGGGGCAGCGGGGGGGCCACATGCAAGCGCACAAGCCGCTTCAAGCCAGTGTAAGAACAAGGAAAGGCGACACTACCACCAGCGCCAGGCGCCCCCCCTCTCGCTTGAGACATGACACATACCCTGTCCCCAGGTCGGGGAGAAATCATGGACCCTATCTCTGAAGGTGCTGGTGGTGTCGCCTCTTCTCTCACCGACAATGCTGGGGCGATCACTGTGGGCCCGCACTCCAGCGATCGGTCACTCTTAAGTGCGCAGTCATCTCGCTACCAAAGGGACAGAGACACAAGGATCGAAGGGGGCTTCTCTGACCACGGCGAGCCTCGGCCACGAACAGGTGCACCGACCTATCTGGTGAACGGCCCGGAAACCAGCCTCTCTGGAACCAAAAGCGGCCCTGACGGTCTGGAACTTTTGCTTGGCGTGTCGCGGCGGCGGCCCTGGCGACACGCAATGCCCAGCGAGCGGATCGAGTGTCGCTGCGCTCTGCGTGGCGGGAGGCTGGGAAGAATTCGGGACATGCACGCTCGGGGACTGGGAAACTGGCCAGCGTGTCTCACCGCACCGAAGCGTGGTGGGCCAGAGCGGGCGGCGCGACATGCAGAGTAAAACCTCCCGACCGCACGTCAGCGTCTCGAGCGTGGCCGGGCATCGCGGCGCGAGCGTCCTGGCGACGGCGATCCCGCCTGGCCTCCTCGCCCTCGCGGCCGGGGCCCTCCGCGGCGCCCTCCGCGGCGGTGGGGGCCCGCCGCTGTGCCGCGGCGGGCCTGCGGGGGGAGGCAGGACCCGCCACCTCGCACCGCCGCCGGTCGCCCGCCGCCCTCGCTGCAGCCTCCGCGGTGCCCCCTCTGGGCACCGGGCCCTCCCGAATCTCGCGGGGATCCGCACGGACGCCTCAGGAACCCTTCCCCCCAAGGAGCTCTCCCCACCCCCACACACACAAACAGAACTGGCCAGTGGGGGGTGGGAGGGAGGGTTCTGCGTGGGGGGGATGGTGAATCAAAGCATGGCATGGGGTTATCATCACGAAGGGCCCATCCGAAGAAGAGCAAAAGAAACAACACGGCGTCACGGTTCAGCTGAAGCTGCGGAGGTGGTTCCGCTGCGCCTCCCGCTGGAGGAGGGGCTCGCGGTCACTGGGGAGCTGCTGCCGTGCGATCGTGCGGCGCGCGGCCGTGGCCCACGTGCGCCTCTGGCCCACAAGGTGCCGCGCGATCTGGGATGAAAAGCGGGGGAAGGCCGAGAGCACCGAAGGTCCGGAAGCCACGCGTTGGAATCAAAGCTGGCCGCCCTCTTCTCCGCCCGCCTCCCTGGTGCCAATTTGCTGTTTCGCGGCCCGTTCTACGCCAGCACGCGCCGAGCCACCGCCGGCGCCACGGCAACAAGTGTTGGGACAGAAGCAAGCCCAAA